GATTCGGCGGTCAATAAGCTCTCACACAATGTTTAGATGCAATCAAACGCCAAATTAGTTTACATTTTATTCGTATATTATATATAAATTAGGTTTTTATTGTCTATTAACTAATCATTTCTAGTTTTAATCAATTTTTATTGCAATATATATATATATATATTATATAATATTTATTATTCTTTTAATTAAGTAATTGTTAAACAATTTGTGTATTTTTTAAACGAAATGAAAGTATTATTTTTAAATATTTATAGAAATCTAGAAACGGAATAATTATTAACTCTTTTTGGTTCACATGTTATGTAATAGAGAATGCATTTACAGTAAAGTGTCTATTTATTGATGACTTCATTTCTATCATTAAATATTTTATTACAAATCATTGAAAATAAATTATTTATAAAAATACAGTTATTTTCAATATACAATATAATTTTAAGGTTACAAAACAATTATTTTAATAAGAATTTTTTGTGAGGAAAATTACTGTACTTGATGCAATTAGCAATCATGTCCGGGATTTTTACTTAAAACATTGTGTTAATTGTCCGACTTTCTAATGTTATTTCAATGCAAAATTAAAATAAATTGACATTTACTTTATAAACTGGTCACACAATTTGTTAATTAAATATTTATGTTAATTTATGTTAATATGTTAATTAAGTGTATCAGGAATTTTTTGGGGGCCGACTATTAAATGTTCATGCTAAAGTTTTGACTGTTTAATCAGACAGGATTTTAGTTTATAGCATTTGGATTACTTTCGGGTTTAATGTTCACAATCAGATAAATGACCATTTTTTCGGGCTCCCGAACATTAGTTACACTTTACAAATACAGGTCTTATTTGAGTTCAATTAGATACTGGACAAAATTGAATATGACCTAGGTTACATATGGTCTGTAGCGATCATGTACAATTTAGTAAAAACGCAATTTAAAATATTTGAACCTTTCAAATAAACGAGTATTAGTCATATCGTATGACCAAGCTATATAATTTGTTAATTTGTAATTAGATTATTCATAAATTACAAATGTTTATATTAGTAGTAAACAAATGTATATTTTAATGAATCAAACATTCGTTTGATATAAATTGGATAATAAATATTATCCCATTAATTACTAAAGTTATATAAATATACAATTATGCATTTAAGATTAATTAATTATTAAGTGAACATAATTTGAATTGCAGTAAACATTTCTATTATATATTAGATTTCTTTACTATATGTAATTTAATTTTAATTTAAACTTAGATTAATTTATTAAATATTAATTGAATTTATTACAATCCCCTCTTTAATTGGTTGAAATAATACTAAATAGATATAGAAGTATCAGTTGAACAATAGTTTTTTAAGCAAATTGTATTTGAAAACTAAATTTTTTACAATCAGGAGGTCTCGGGTTCAAGTCCTGAGAGCGACCTTTTAATAAAATTTGTCTTTTCAATCATTTCTACTCTCTTTCCCTGATTTATCTGATATAAAAATAAGTTATTGAAAAAACATACCAAGTAAATTTTTTACAAATTAATTAAATCTAAAGTTACCAAAATTTTCTAAAATAACTTAAAATTTTACATAACGTGCATTAAGTGTTTTTTTTCAACAGGATATCACATTTGATATGTTTTTTCAATAACTTATTTTTAATATCAGATAAATGGGCGGAAAGTATTAGAAATTATTGAAAAGACAAGTTGTATTAAAAGGTCGCGCCCAGGATATACCATTAATTAAAAACAATTTGACACGAGTTTTAAATAATAATTTTATCACTTAATTATAAATATTGAAGTAAAGATTGAGGTTTCGGGACGGCTTTCCATTCTTATTGATTCTCATTCTTAAAATAAAACTGATCCACATCAAAAAAACCTAACTATAGACCAGTGAACGCGCGCTTAGGTATGGCTTTGATGTGATTGAAGGCCAGACCCAACGTCTTGAGCCGCTGTAAGCCATCGAACGAACCGCTCGAGTCCTCTATAGTCCACGAAATCTGGTTGTGATNCGAATGGTGTGCCGAAGATCAGTCCCGACGGCGAGGACTCGATTGGTGTCGTGAATGGCGTGAAAGACGTGGAGTTGTGTTCAGTGGCGGCGAGTCTGGTGTCGGCGCCGAAGGAGTCGTGGCTCCTTCGGCTCTTCGAGGCCCAGCTCTTCGATATGTCGATTGCCATCACTTATCTGTTTAAGTCGAAGGAGTCGGGAGTGTTGTCCTACTTAGGGAACCGTATGTTCACATTCAGTGCTCCGGAAGTGGACTTCTATTTACCACAACTGATCACTCTATACATCCATCACAACGACATCGCGGAATCGCTTCACCCATATTTGGTGAGTCGGTGCCGAAGTAGCGCTCATTTGTCGCTGCAATTGGTTTGGCTGTTGAACGCCTTCTGCAACGACACGGTCTACTCGTCGGCCGCTATTCCCAAGCCATCCAACTCTCGCCGCAAATCATTGGGTCTTAAGTTAAGGAATTTGATTCTCTCGGAAGAGTTGCGTCCAAAACAACAACGACTTCTGCAGCAAACGCTGACACAGAGCCCAACGCCCGCCACAGCCCCTCACGAGTGCACTCATAGTCGACATAATAATAACGCTTTGAATACAAAGTTTTCTAATCATATGAATAATAACGAGAACTTATCGCTGAATCCAATGAACCCAATGAACGGTCGCCAAGAAAACAGTTCGTGTAGTGAACACTCAATTCACGCCAAACTGCACAACAAAACCCATCAGCGCTCGTACAGTGACTTCAGTTGCAACCAATCGCTGTCCTTAAAGTCCGGTGCTCTGAGACCACCACCCGGTCTGCTGCAGAGCAAAGGCAGAGTAACATTGGGTGACCTGACGTCCGGACGCGCCTTCGACAACGGATGCGTTTGTTTCAACACTTGTCTCTGCAATGAACTCCTCGGCCAAAGAGCTCAGTGTCATTGCGGGGCTCCGCGACTGACCGCTGAGTACGAGTTCATTAAGTGTCTCATTAATATCGGTCTTCGGCTGCAAGCGGTTCCCACAAAGGAAGTGAAATCTCAACGACTGATCGCAGAGTTGTTGCAACTGAACATCAATCTACCGGCGCGGGTATGGCTCCCAATCTATGACGTGCCGCATATGATAGTGAGAGTCCCGCCACAGGCGGCTGTTCTGCTCAACTCTAAAGACAAGGCGCCGTATCTGATATGCGTCGAAGTGGTCGAAGTGGACGACATAAACGCCACTCCAATCCCACGCAAAGAGAATAACATGACTTTAAGGCAAACCAAATCTGAGGAGAATTTAGTAGAATTCGGACAAAACCCCAACAATAAGCTGAACGGCAACGCAAACCCCACAATCACTCGCATCGCCAGCTCTAACCTCATTATGTCGTCCTATCCGTCGGTATTAGACGACTCCGACTGCTGGACACCGGAAGACGACGAGGTGTCCAAACAATACAGGCTTCGCATGCGTTCGTACGATAAGGACACGATCTCGCAGTTGTCTCAGGACTCGGGCACGAGTGGAGACAACGGACACCCAGTCTTCGTGGCTGCCGGCGATATCAGGCGACGGCTCAGCGAAACGATAAACGCCCCGAAGACGGGTTTCGCGCGATGTCCTGAAGACCCTTCAGCCGCCGCACTGAAGGAGCCCTGGGATGAAAAGGTGGCCCGAATTCGCGAGTCGTCGCCCTTCGGACACCTCTCCAACTGGAAACTGTTGGCCGCTATCGTCAAGTGCGGCGACGACTTGCGTCAGGAGCTGA